CAGGCTGATGGTGCACATCTCCACGTATGCCTCGTTTGGAATGGGAGTGGGAGGGATCAACTGCAGGAGACCCTGAGACTGAGCTGGGGTGGGCCAGGCCTGGAGCGTGGCTGGCAGTGGGGTCCCACCGCAGCCAGGGTGCGGCGTGTTAAGTTAGGGCTCAAGAAGTACGAGGTACTGGCCAAGTGTAGGGAATCTGAATACAGGAGAACATACGCTTCTGTTGCTTCTGTTAGGAAGTTCTAAGGCCAAAGCAAACTCTAGCTGTGTCATGCTGTGGTGATGAATTTGATAACGACCCCAGGAACATCTGAGATGGCAAAGCGGCCAATAAAGGAAGACCTGGAACCAAGTCAGCAACTCCTAAGATCATGGGGTTTTCATAGTGGGAGGGACTTCTGTCATCAGGGGATGGATTTGTAAATAAGTTATAGATGTGCCATCTGTGGAAATATGATCTGCATTAAAAGATACTGCGTGCACTGTTTGTGGGTCACAGAAATGCAAAGCAACGTGATGTGGTTATGTTGTCCACTGCATTGTGTGTGGGTTTTCACATGCATCACACGGAAGTCATGTAAGGATGACATTACACATGACCCTGCATCCAAGGGACAGCCAAAGGATGATGCTCCCTCTTGCCAAGTGCGTCCCACCTGCTTATTATCTTATTCTTCTTATTTCCTGCTCTCCCAGCCTCGTCAGCAACTTGTCTCATTTTTCTCCCCTTTGAAACGCAACCTCCTCCAGTGGTTTTGAAGTCCAATTTCAATTTGAACACAAACTGCTCCCATAATACCCATAGTCTAAAAGGAACTGCAGGCAGATGCTAATTGGAGAGGGCTGGCGGTTTTCCACCCGATTGGAGTGTCTTTCCCATTGCTGACAGCACCCGAGACCTCAGCCAGCGCCACCACAACTTCACCTCTTCCTCCCTGTGTCCTGGCTGTCTGTCATAGAGTATTCTTCCCATCTCTCTGGTCCTTGGTTTGCCTCCTGTCCCGTGATCGTCTCTGTGTTCCTTACACCGTCAGTCACCTCAGCGGGAGGGAGAACGAGAATGTGAGGGGCCTCCACCTTCACACCCAGGGCACTGCCAGGTCTCTCTGGGTCCTGCCCTTTGAAGTGCTCAAGACCGAGCCAGCTGCTCCTCTGGGACCCAGAAGGCAGCAGGACCCAGAGAGGCAGGTGCTGGGCAGAGTGGTGGGTGGCTGGGGTACAGCGCTGTGGCCCTGGCTGGCCAGAGTCGGCCCGCAGAGGCCATTGCCTCTGTCCCACCCCGCAGGGCTCTCTGTCCAGATCCTCTTCTGGGTCACTGTCCTGCAGAGCCAGGTCTGCCCTCAGGGTCCAGCTTGGTCTCCCCTGGCTCCCCACACTGGTCCCTGTCCAGCTCCCACTGTGTCAGGTGGGCACCCTGCTGCCCCTTTTAGCTCTGCCACTTTTTGAGCCCTCCCTGGAGAGCTTGAGACTTGGGGACGCACTGGATAGGGATGTGAAGCCCATCCAGGAAGCACACAGTACCCAGGGTGCCCTCGCTGACCGCTCAGGGCTGAGTTGTTAGGGGGTGCTGTGAGCAGGGTCTCGTTTACCCAGAGCACGTTGAAATTAGAGGGTTGTGTGTCCCTGTGAGCAGGAGTGAAGTGGGCTTAGGGCAGCCATGCCAGTTCTCATCCCAACAGGGCTGCTTTTATGAGCCAGACTGCTGCCGTTGATGGGCAGGTGGACACCCTGCCAGTGGGGATGGAGAGCAAGCCCCAGAGGGGCACATGCTGGGGACCAGCGGAACCCCCACGGCGAGGGTCTAGGTGGGATGCGTGAGGACTGAGTGGAAGCTGGGTATGATTAGGAGTCAGCAGAAGCACAGTGCGTGAGGCAGGACATGCCAGCCTTGGCCTGTGGTGGCCTCGGCCACGGACACAGCAGCTGGTAGAGGCCGCTGCCCAGGGAAGTGATGTGTTCTGTACCGCCCCCTCGGCACCCCCTGCCAAGGAGCCAAGCCCACGATGCTCCAGGTGGAACACGATACTTCACGCTGTCATCTTTTGCTCCGACTTCCCTGTTCTCCTCTGGGCACAGGCTGTCGCCTCTCAAACGGCTTTGAAGCTGCTGCCACAACACGCGCAAGTCTGCCAGCTGCATGGCGTAGAGCTGTGTGGCTGAACGTGGTGGTGCTACGGGATCATGCACAGTCGATGACTCACTTGAACAAGGGCCCGAGCTTGCTGGCAAATTAGCACTTCCAAGTGTGTATTTAGCACAAAGCAAAAAATACCTAATAGCAGGTCTCTAAATGAACCTCTTGGAAATAGCCCAGGAGCATCAGATGTTTCCCAAGTGGGGATTAAGCCATTTGGTCAAAATGGGGCGAGTGGCAGGGAGTGTGGGGGTGGGTGAGCTTGAATCTGGTGACCGCTCAGAGGCTTCTGGAACTATTTCATTGGCGCAAAAACCAAACTTTAGTGGTGAGAGAGTGTTTGAGGGTGAAGTAAATGCTGGGATCTGGTTGCCAACGTGCTTCGAGACGACTCAGGTTGTAGTCACTGCTTGGGGAGCAGTGTCTGTTTAGCTCGGCGTCCCCTCCTGGGCTGGCCACACTGATGCAGGCATTGACCAAGTCTCAGGGCACTACGCAATAATAACTTTGAGTTCTGGAGACTGCCCGGGGTGACCTCAGGATGGGAAAGGATGACTGTTATAAATTTGGAGTCATTTTCGTTTGGTAGTCTCTCTGACTTAGGAACAAAATAGAGTAAATAAAGCAAAACCCTAATTTAGGAGAGCGTTTCATTTAGTCACAGGCCAGGATGACCAGGGCATCGCATGGGAAGAGAAGCGTGTCTCATAGGAACCTTTCGTTTGCTCCCATCGTCACTGAGCTTTGCTGAGGCTGTAGGCACATCTCATCCCGACAGGGCTGCCTTTATGAGCAAATCATCGTGCTAACTGCCTCCTGTTCTGCCTCCTCCAGTTCACCTCTGCTTAGACCTTCCTCTGCGTCAGAGACAGGGCAGTGCGACAGAACCTTCTGTGTCACACACAGCCCTTCTCCAGCACTCTGCCTTTCACAGGAGACCAAGTGACCTGAACCTTTCCTTGTAATGTCCTCTTCTTGGACAGCAAAGAAAAGAGAGACCCAGATTTGAACTTGAACCTGGAACAACTGGCCACTGACCCTGGAGTCGAGACTCTACCTGCAACATGGCACACTTCTCTGCTGTGTGTCCGGTGTCCTTTGCCACTGGGCGAGGCTCCATCAGTGCCATGCCACGTCGGCCACCCTGACATCCCTGTCCACCCAAGTGGGACCTCTCTCCGCCTTTCTGTTTAGAGCCCTGGCTACTACATCCAGAATTTTCTGTTTAATTACCCTACCAGTAGGCATTAATATCCTCAATTGTGCTGGTAAATTACAGGCATCGAGCCTACACAGTGGCCCAGCGCGTCGATTCAGCTATTCATTAGAACTTCCTTACAGATGTGTAATAGCCTCTTTTCATTTTTAATAACTTGGATGAGAAATGTGGAAGGTACCGGGACAGAAGCAGGGACAGTGTTATTAAAATGTTTGCATAGAAAGTGGCTGCAGCAGGATGTGGAGTAGGGTGTGGTTTGTCTGGGCAAACTGTATTCCTATGTGTGTGTGTGTGTGTGGGGGCATGCAACAAGGATGGACAGTGCCCTGTGTGTGTGTGTGGGGGGGGCATGCAACAAGGATGGACAGCGCCCTGTGTGTGTGTGGGGGGGGGGCGTGCAACAAGGATGGCCAGCGCCCTGTGTGTGTGTGTGTGTGAGAGGGGGGACGTGCAACAAGGATGGCCAGCGCCCTGTGTCTGTGTGTGCAAGCGGTGCAGTATTAACAAAAGGCCCTTGTGCTGCATGGCAAGTTCTGGGAGGGCAAAGGTGGGAGTCTCTCTTCATTTCTGAGCTCTCCTGACCCAGAGCTTACCTTGGAACATCTGTGGTTGCTGCAGTATTTGTTGAAGGAGTTTTTAAAAATAAATGGCTGTAAGCAGATCTAGCTGAATCCCCTCTTTTGAACCTGTGCCTGTGTGTGACCTGTGGGGGCTGAGTTTGGGTCCTGAGTCCGGGCTACATCAGGCAGCAGGGATCTGGGCCGATGCAGACTCCACCCACTGCACTTAGGGTGACCCATGCCCACCTTTTCCATTCAAAGGAGAGGTTGTGAGGGGGTCCCCTCCATGTCCACAGCAGGCATCACAGCATGCTCCCGTGGAAACCCAGGGGTCGAGCAGGATGGACCAGGCTGGCCACGTTACCCTCTGCGGTGGCCAGGGCCTGGCCGATCTCTGGGAAGGGACTCCTCACGTGACCGAGTGGCCGAGGACAGACTCCAGGGCTCCTTCTTTGTGCTTCAAATGTTCCAGCTGGGTTCATCCTGGAAGATGAATTCTGTGCTGTCCAGAAGCACCATGTGGGGGACTGTTTCTGAAAGCAGAATGGAGAGGCACTTCCTTGCCTCCTGTACCCCTCTTTGCTGGATGCCCTCTTGGGACAGAAGCCCTCAGTGCCCGTGCAAGTGGCATCAGTGTGGTCACTGGTGGAGGCAAGCAGAAGTGACCAGGGGAGGGCATACCCAGAGAAGGGCCGTGTAGGGAGATGCAGCACACAGCAGAACCGGGGTACACCAGGCCTGGGGCTGGGCAGCACTGTGCTCATCCACAAATAAAAGGAAAACAGTGGGGGTGTGGGCGCTACGCTGTCTGGGGGTGCCAGCGCCCCATCCTAACCAGGCAGGTGCTGCAGGTGTGTGGTGAGGCCCGGCCTGGCTGCAGTTCGGCTGCTGCGTGTTTGCTGCCCCACCGTGGCCGGGGCTTGGCACCGTCTCTGGGCTCTGCTGGGACATCCCTTCCCCGTGTGATGTCCCTAACATGGCTTCCAGCCTGGGAACATGGTTATCAGCCTATGGCCAGGAGCCCTGGCCTAAGAGGATGACACAGCTCAGCTGGTGCTGCTGTTGACAAACCTTTATCTTTGTTTCAGAAGCTGACAAATCCTTTATCCCAAATGCACGGGAGTCATGGAAATGCACAACTTTTCCTGGCTGGGGCCACGGCTCTGCAGGCTGTGTGTGTGTGTGGGTGTACAGCACACCCAAGAAGTGCATGAGGAAAGGGAATTAAAAGGTACATTTATTCTGGTGCACAAGTTGTGCAGTCCATGCATTTTTTTTTTCGCTCATGAGACATGTCTCCTTGTACAAAGCACACAGATACTTTTATGTTTCTAAAATGAAAAATTTGATAAAAGCTGTGGTTTTTCAGGAGGGCCCTGGGGCTTCGAAGGGCCAGGCCTGGATCCTGGGTGACCCTGGCTGCCTGGGCTTGCCCACTGGCATCCGATCGGGACAGGGGGCAGAAGCTGCCTCTAGGCCGTAGGGTGCAGTGAGTTCGGGCTGCCCCTTCTTGGACCCCTGAGTTGGTGCAGACCCGCTCCAGGCCCTTCCAGGTTTCTGTGGACTGGGTTCTGAGGCAAGAGTGGCTTTTGGTCCCAAGCGGCAGCCAGGGAGGGAGACACAGCGCTGCCTGGCCAGCCCTCCCAGCCCCAATGCTGTCCCTTGCACAGCTGAGTCCATGCCACTTGAGTCCGCTCTCTGTGTGACATCATCATTCTTGGGGAAGCCCAGGCATGAAGCCCCGCTGTGTGGAGAGCCAGGGGAACCGGGGGCTCCTGGGTGGGAGGCAGCATGCCCCACTCCAGTGCGAGTCTCCTCTGACATCCCCTGAGCTCGGGACTGACTTGCCCTCCTCCCAACCAGTGCCTTCCGCCTGGCAGGTGTGATGACGGTGCCTGCTCTCGACGTTGACTCTGTCACCAGTCTTGGATGGGCGGCAAGCCTGCGCCCCTTGTCCAGCATGCGGCGCTAGTCCCTGTTCTCCCAGGCAGGGTGTGGTGAGTCAGGATTCACACCCAGCGTGGCTGTTCTTGGGGTGTCCCCTGAATACTCTTGGATCTCCCTGCGACCCCACAGCCTCTTCCTCACACAGATGCTCCATGGCATTTTTCTGCTTCCTGGCTACCTGTGACTTAATGTGTTAACCCATCCTTAGTATCACAAACTGCACAGAGACTATGCCATCTCCCCAGCTCAGGGCCACCCTGCAGCCACTGGCTGGTTGCTAAGAAGCCCCTGATGAAGTTGATCGGCAGGTGTACACATCTGGTGCCTGGGCTGAGAGGCATCATCAATTCAATGAAAGAGGTGAGGAGCTGATCACAGTCCTTGAGTCAGCAAAGGAAGCTGTGGAGTGGAGGGCACGGGGGCTTGGTGCATGGGGTTGGCACGAAGCCCATGCTGGGAAGAGAGGGTGCAGGCACGAGTGTGAGTGATGGCCCAGGTTGGTGTGGTTGCTCAAGATGACTTGTGCCTCCCGGGGACTGAGTGCAGCCCTGTAAGGCACACACGCTCGTGTCCCGAGGGCACACAGCTCGTGTCTCCCAGGGGCCACAGCCCTGTAAGGATGAGGGCGCACAGCTTGTGTCTCCCAGGGGCCACAGCGCTGTAAGGATGAGGGCGCACAGCTTGTGTCTCCCAGGGGCCACAGCCCTGTAAGGATGAGGGCGCACAGCTCATGTCTCCCAGGGGCTACAGCGCTGTAAGGATGAGGGCGCACAGCTCGTGTCTCCCAGGGGCCACAGCCCTGTAAGGACGAGGGCGCACAGTTCATGTCTCCCAGGGTTCTGTCACAGCCCCAATAGCTCCTTTGTCTCAGTCCTGGCGACCCATCAGCCTGATGGTGCCCAGCACCTGAAGGCAAACAGTGTGTTGTGGGATGCCACCGTGCTGTGGTCATTTGTGAAAGCAACAAGCACGAATGGGAGGCCAGTCCTCTTGCAGCATCTTGTGTAAACAGATGGACAGGAATGGTGCCTGGACTGTAACTGGCACCTTAGAGATTGCTGGTTTGTTTCTTTTGGCTACTTGGAACACGTAGAGAATGAGAGAGCTTGGTCACAGCGCAGGACCCCTCTCCGGGGCTGGACCACGACAAAGCCAGCAGCCCAGAACTCCACTGGAGCTCCCCCTGGGTGGTAGGACCCCACGCATTGCCCCATCACCTGCTGCTTTCCAGGATACATCAGTGGGACTTGAACCGTAGATCTCCCAAGTGGCAACTTCACTCCTATGACAGGTGTTTTAATGTTTGTGTTGCATGAATAAATAAATATGCAAACAATGGCAACAACGAAGCAAACCATGTGAGCCACACGAACTGAGCCAAGCGCCTGCCTCTGGTCCCTGCAGACCCTCACCTGTGCGCTCAGGCTCCACCCACAAGGTCCAGGCGTTGGCACCTCCATCCCTGGCAGGGTGGCAAGCTGGGCCCAGGGCCAGCTCAGCTAGCCTGTGCCAGTGGCCACACAGAGCCTGGAGGGGGGTTCAGATGTGCTCTCTGCAGGTGGGTATCAGGATTGACGAGGCAGAGCCCCCTTGGAGGCTGAGGCATGCGCAGGACTTTGGACCAAGGCCAGCTGGAAGAGGGCGGGGCCAGGGCTCTCTGCTGGGCACACTCAGCTTTGCCAGCAGGAATACAGCCAGTAGCCAGCTGTCCCAGTCCTGCCTCTGATGACTGAGTGGTCAACGATGACTGATACAGAGATAAAATACTTTTTTTGTCTTCCCTGGATCACTGTTTTATTAATTCACATAGGAGCAACCCAAGAAACCAAACACGCTTCTCAAATTCAACCCGAGCCTGCGTTCCACATGGACTGAACAAGGCTGCAAGTGTGGTGTGTAGAGGGAAGCCATCAAATCTGCAGAGGAATGAGTGTCCAGGGCGGGGTGGGGCAGGGGAGAGACTGGAGGGGCAGCTGACACAAAACAAGTTCCCAGGCATCGGAAGCCAAGACTGGGCGCAGCAGCCAAGCCAGCAGCGGACAGAGGGCGAGAAGCCAGGCTCTGCCTGGGAAGACTCTGCAGGAGCACCTGTGTGTGTCACGTCTCTATCGATCCTCCTGGAAGAAAAACCTGGCTAGGAATGCTCCTTGTTGGAACACACCTCAGAACTGTCATTTTCATTCTGCTTTCTCCCTTTCCCTAAAGCGAAAGGCAGAGATGGCAGAAGTCTGGGCCAATCTTGCCTAATTCTTCTTACTTTTCAACAAGGGAGCTTGGCTGTGACCACGGTCTCTCAAGCCTGTGCTCAGCTGCGGCAGTGGACAGTGAGGGCGTGAACCCTCGGCAGGTCACCCTAGCTCGAGTCTGCCCCTTTGCTGGTGTTTTGGCACAGACCCCTCTCCCACCTGCAGATGTTGCCTAGGAGGAACACCCATCCTGTGAATGGCGCATGGCCATTTCTGAGCAAGGATCCTGGCTGCTACTTGTTAGCACTCTTGGTGGGTTTGGTCTATAATGAGTCAAAAGTCACATTCCACTCCTAGTTGCAGAATCTTCAAAGCATTATTAAGTGTCTGAGTTTCAAATCAGTGCATCTCTTAAATTGGGCCTCAGCACGAGTGTTTCCAAGTACAGCAACATCAGATAAAGCTGCCCAAGCGAGTGAAGGGGCTTCTTGACAGTTTGCAGCAAATACTTTGCTTCCAGCAAACACTGAGTAATAAGGACTTAGCCCCCTGCCTGGAACAACAACAGGAAATATAAAAATATCTCAAACAGCCACTTTAGGATGCCCAAAATAAAACAACAAAAGACAAAGAGAAGGGTGCCAGCCAAAACCAGCAATGGATGTCTGTGTGTAAAAGTGTCGATTGATGACCAAGTACGGGGGGGTTGCAATCAGAGGTCCCGGATGGGACAAGCAGTCGCAGGGGGAAGCACGAACAGTGAGACGGAGAGCTCACGTGAGCTGTGAGGGCAAGGTGCAGGGGGGACATTTGGGAGGTGAGCCAGTGAATGAGTGAGCTTTGCTTCAAATAAAACATCACGGATAGAACACGGGACACAGTGTTCAGAAGGTTCTCGTTGGTAGGGAACAGACCAAACGGAGCCCTAGTGCTGCTCGACCTCACAAATGTGAAGGCAGAGCCTCAAGGAGCAAACTGTTCCCACGGAATCCGATCGGATCTTACCACCAAATTCAGGGTCATTTTAGTCTAAAAAGGCTCAGAAGTCAGCCAGGCAAAATTCACAAAAACTGTTAGGTCTGAGGTCAGTTAGCAGCCAGTCCAGCTGGGGACGAGCACAGGCAGTCCGACTTGCAAGCGGAGACGTGAGACGCCTGGTGTGACCGCCTTTTCCATGTCCCAAGAATTATGGTAAACACTTACCTTGTTTATGAAAATGAAATGAATTGGCACTGTGATTAGATCACATCTTAAAAATAGCACTTTTCAGAAATACCAGGAAAGTTGTCCTGCTCGCACGTCTTCCTAGAATATAATCCTACTTACTTAAATTCCAGTTCTCAGACTCCCACTTTCATCACCTTTCTCCCAAAGAGGCTACTTTTTTTCCTCCCAGTTCCTGAGTATTTTGGCATTTTTGAAGTCTCAGCTGTTCAGAGAGTTTTCTAGCATTCTGCTCCAAGCTATGCTTCACCAGGGAGTCCTTGGGGATCCTTGGGGTGCCAAGGAGCAGCAACAGAATAATTCACGATTGCTGTCCTGTGTAAATCAGACCCTTGAAACACCAGGCTTCACTCTGGGACTTTGATCTGCTCAGCAGCTCCTATCATTACTGACTGGCATGTAAGAGATGAACTTTGTGGTTCCACGTGAGTTCACTCTGAACTACCGGAAGCACTCCTGGCTTGGATTGTCTTTGTTTCAGTGTGTGGGACCCAGCTACCCGATGAGCTCACATCGGGAGCGCTTGTTGAAAGCCAACGATGTCCTGAAGAAGCGGCCTTGCCTTCTCTGCAACTGTGCCCAGACTCTCGCAGCCCTCCCTGCACGCCTGGTGCACTGACAGCCCGCACGGCCGAGGCACTCACCGCCCACATGGCCTTGGCACTCACTGCCCGCATGGGCTCTCCTTGCTTCTCAGCTCCTGCTCAGATCTTTGCTACCTGGGCTCCGTGGAAAGGGACCTACCACCACATCTGAGGGTTGAGAGCCTCTGCAGCTTTTCCAGCCTCAGGCTCACTGTCCAGTACGCGCGTCCTCACTTGGCAGGCCTACTTAAGGGAAGCTGAGGCCTTTTGGTAGACACGCAGCCCTGTCAAGCTCTTTGCGAGAAGCAGCAACAGGGACTGCGTGGAGAGGCCTGCGTGGTGGGTATCTGAGAGAATTTCTCACCTACTTATCTTGTGGGATACCACATATACTGGAGCAGAAGATGCAGCCCTGCCTGTGTTGGCTATGCATATCATTATAAACACTATGATACGTGTATTTTTGGTCACTTATGATTGCATCACAAGTCACAGGCTAAAGACGGCATTTTTTTCTGAATTTGGACCTATGTCTGTAATGCAGAAAGAAGTTCAGAAAATCCATTAATTTGGGTCTGCTGTTGATAGGCATAATCATTATGCTTACCGGCTCCATTCTCCTGGTTTAGCGAGTACTGTTCATGCGTATAACGGGACAGGCTTCGCTTCTCTGCCGTGAATTGTATATATGCTTTCTACAGCAGTGGACTTGGCATGCAAATCTCACTAAAATATTTCCACATGAGTATAGCTATCACCAGTCCTAATGCCTTATTAATGCGGACAAAATACTTCATTTTAAAGACTGCAAAAACATTTAATAAACATGAACAGATTGGGTCTGCAACTAATACATCCATATGTATACAAACACATACTATAATATTTGCATCTCGATGGGTCTTTGTCCAGGAATTTGACCCCTGGTAGAAGGTGAGCAGCACTGTGAGAAGGTGAGCCCTCTCCTACGATCAACGTAACTCCCTTGCCTTTGCAATGCACACTTTCCCATCATGCCTATAACACATGGCATTAGCTGAAAAGTCAGCACAGCCCTTTTAGCAATGTTACTGAAAATAAATTGATTAGCGGGGACAAGCGATGATCTAAATCACCACATTTCTGAGGTCCTCTGTCATGGCATTTTTTTTATTGAAAAATCGTTGAGTTTTGAGTACGCTGTGGGCTTTAAAAATAGCTCCTGGGCCTTAGTGTTGACAAGTAGATCAAACGCAGACTGGGCTGAGGAAGGCTGTGTCCTTGCGGTGTCTCTGCGGCCTCTGCCGGCTGGCCCCTGTGTCGCTCACCACTGCTGCTCTCGTAGAAACTGCTACTGCTCGTTTTAATCTGGATTCTCTCATGCTGGAAATGAAATGCTTCCTGCACACTCTTTCTCAATTTTCATCAGAGTCCCAGGAAAAGTCCTTTGGGTCTGCCTAGCATGGGCTGTTGAGCCTCATGGACACTCACTGGTTACTGTGTGTTTTGGTTAGGTTCACTCAGGTGCCTCTGGCAGAATGGTTATTCTGGAGTGAGCTATATGAAGATGCATGTGATTTTGTGTGTGTGTGTGGGGGGGCTTCCTCAGCTTTCCCAAACTGGGCAGCAATAAACAGTACTCTCCCTTTATGGAAAGATGCTGGTCACACAGTCATTGCGGCCATCACCAACAGCCAGGGACGAACCTCTCTTCCATTCAGCAAGGGGCCTTCATGCATGGGACAGGCAGGGATGTGTCCTGAATCAGCACCAGGAAGTCCCAGAAGATGGACTGTCTGCCTTGATTGGAGGGGTGAGCTGACGCCGACTAGGTGGGCAGGTGGCCAGCAGGGAGGAGCTGAGGCCTTCCTGGCGGCCTCAGTCGTGCCGCAGCCTGCTTGCCTCACCTGCACCCAGCTACAGCCACACAGCCATTACGGTAACCTGCGTGACTACCCTGCATCACCACCACAAGTGCTATCTCCCAGTAAGGCCACTGTAACACACGGACCGTGGCTGACACTCCCACTCCGGCCATGCACCTGACCCCACGGCATTTCTGAGTTTTCAAAAAGAGGATCACTCAAATCCCATTCCCAGCATCCCTCTCTTGACTATTCAGTGAAGCCCAGCAGAGCCACCCAGGGCCTGCAGCTCTCTCTGGAGCATGCCCATGACCGCTCTGAATGGGCACTTTGCCCTGATGGAAGGAAGCCTGACTCGCTGCCCAGCTCGTCCTTGAAATGTTTTCTTGTGTTGGGGACAAGCAGTAGGACGCAGCCACTCTGTGACCTTGGGAAGTCAAAATAAGTTGTTCCTTTGAAAAATACGCATCTAAGAAGCTTCCCTTTTCCTCACAGAGATTCTCAGCATCTCAGGGCCTCAGCTGACCAGTCTAAGTCTAGATAATTTATAAATGCCAAACTTGAATATTTTATTATTATAGGTTAATGATAAGGCTATTACCATATGTCACAGAATAGTGCACTATTTTTGGCATGTTTACATGAAAGAAAGTATTACATCCTATCTGACCTTTTATGAATTAGTCATTACTGCAACCTAGATTGAAAATTCTCAGAGTAAAAAATGGATGCCATTCAATATGACTTTTGTTCCCGAACCTCTGATCTCTACGACCTGCTCTGAGCTCAGAATTAAACTGCTTCAATGTGGTCCACCTCGAGGCGGACACAGGAATGCAAAAGCGACAACTTACATTTGATCAATTCATTGACCAGTGGGGAGTCTGACTCTTCCTCTTGGGGGATTAAAATCACCAAGTGGGGCATCCACTCAGCCCTCGATGAGCTCGCTGGGGACAAATATTTGCTTTGAGAATCTGTAGTGGAAACTGCAAACAAACTGAATGGAAGCCTAGTGCTCCGTGAGGAGGCGTCTTCTATGTAGATGGCACACACAGATATCCCTTCAATAGTACTTTATTATGCTTCCTAGCTCCTGC